TTTTTCAAAGGACCAAAGTGCCCTGGGACAGAAAATGAGTATTGGAGTCTGGATAGAATTTTGCAACAGAAAGCAGTAAGTTTCATAAACTGTTTGGGTCTGACTGAACCCCTTTTAATAACATAGCTTGGGGAGGGGGGGCTTCTGCTCCTCCCCCAGCCTCTGTTTTGATACCCCAGCCCTTGTTTTGACTCCTCCGATGAACCATGTGCCACCCCCCCTCCAAGTGAAGATCCCATCTGTCAAAGCAAAAAAGGGTAGCTATTTCTTCTCTGTGTAGCGAATGAAATAAATAAAAATGTGTGTCTAGAAATGTCGAAAATCGAGCCCGAATATTTCTCGATTTTCTAATTTTTCTCCCGTCCACCACCTCCTGGTTGGTTCCCTTTCTCTTGATGGCCACTCCGCTGACAAATTCTTAAAACAGGTCCTGGTTGCCATTGTAGATAGTGCCAGGGCTAGTAACTCCAGTATACCAGATTTCAGTATACTTTTTAGCCACGGCGGTCTGTGCCTAAAAAGTATATTGGATTTCACTATACCTTTAGCCACGGCGGTCTGTGGGTAAAAAGTATATCAGATTTCTGTATACTTTTTAGCCACGGCGGCCCTGTGGCTAAAAAGTATACCAGATTTCAGTATACTTTTTAGCCACGGCGGTCTGTGGCTAAAAAGTATATTAGGAGGACTTCAATGACTTCGAATTGGACGCCGAAGAAATATTTAATTATAAAGTAGAATGACAATTTTAGACATGAATAAAACAATTTGTCAATGTCAAGTTTTGCACACAGTTTCAAAAGCTTTCATGCGAAATTTCGCTATGGTTATATAGTTATGGAATCTAGAGTTAAAGTCAGTTAATCTGAAAGCAGGACTAGTTTCTTGAGACTGAATTCCTGAGAACAATGCAGAACCAATCAGAGAGCAGCATTGCGACTTTAGAAGCATGGACAACCAATAAGGTTGCAGCATTTTGGAGTGACAGCCAATCAGAAGAAGGAATAAAATCCCGCTCTTGAAGGTGAATTCATGTGGGGCTAGTGTTGTTCAGAGCCGAAAGTCGAAATTATACATCTAATTTACGACAATTTTTTGGACAAGAAAGCATACAAAACCGTCCAAAAAACGTTAGAAAGCAATAACAGGTAAGCCTTTAATTGTTTGTGTATGTTTTTAATGTATTTCGTGAAATATTCAGCTGTATTTTTGCATTCTTAACTTGCCGCCAAAAAATTTGCGACAAACTCGGCGACAAGCGAACGAAGGAACTCTTGACTTCATATCAGTTTTAAGTGAAGTTTATTCTTGTTTCTTTCAACTGTTGTTTAAACAAAGTTTGGCTACGATTTAGAGTGTTTGTAAGCACGTTTTTAAGTACTGTATACAGAAAAATTTCGCCTGAAAGCTTTTGAAACGGTGCAAAACTTGACATTGACAAATTGTTTTGTTCATGCCTAAAATTGTCACTCTACTTTATAATTAAATGCTTCTTCGGCGTCGAATTTTCGCTGTTATTCGAGACAAATGGACGTTTTAAATTGTTTAATTTGTTCCAGCACATTAAGTGTTAAGTATCGGAGCGGGTTTCGCCGTATAAATCGACAGAAATTGACTTCAACATTCCGTCTGATAAATTCAGAAACATTGTGGTTATATTCAAACAATTAAATTCTTTACGTATATGTGAGTCCGAATGTTTGACATTTTATATAGGGGTTCAAAGTTCAAACCATTGTTTAATTGTTCAAATATTTTGAATGCTGCTCAAACCAGAAAGGTCTGATTCAGGAACTTTTCCTAAACCTTTTATACAGCAATTAGCCTTGTAAAGTTTTAAATAGCCTTATAAATAGCCTTACTTGTAGCCTTATTATATATAGCCTTACTTGTCTTAATCCTATAGGTTGAACAGCAGTTGTAAAGTTTGCCCTAGATCGAGAGTGTAAAGATGTTCAAAGATGGAATGAACAGGTGAGATTTATTTTTGATTGGAAACTTTTAGCAAAACTTGCCTAGACTAAAAGGTTTTATTTTGCGCAGGACATACAGGGCGAGTAGAAAAAAACAGATACCTTCGCGGCTAATTTGAATAACAAAGCCGGTCAATTTTTTTGACTCACCCTAATCCTTGGAAAAATGCGCAGAAAGGTCAGATATTTTCACAGAATAGTTATGCCAGACCAAGAGGAACCTTGCAGTCAGAAAGTGTTTTTGACAAATCAGAAATCTTCTTGCTTCACATGAAGATCAGAAATCTTCTTGCTTCACATGAAGACAATTTGTGCAGTTTCTTTAGAAATTATTTGTAGTTTTTTACGACTTGAAAAATTTTGTCCAGAAGAATTTTGGCGCAGGAAATTATTTTTCTCCAAAGTCAAAACTTTACAGTCTGGAACTCTACTTGTGGCCAAATTACCCGAGGCAATTTTTGTTGTGCCTATGGCTGTGGGCCTGTTCCAAACATCTAATTTTTCATTTTGCGCATGCGGTGTGGTTTCCAACAGTGTGGTGCCCCGGAGCATGCGCAAGTGACAAGTGCGCCAGAAGCGTAACTATTTTTCAATAAATACCAAGGCTGTAATTCCGAACAAACTAACAATAAAAACATGCAGCGAATATAAATCGATGGCAAACTTAGTTTGGTCACCGCAATATAGAGCATCATTATTTAACAATTAATCCAGTAGTCCGGTTTTAAAAAAGGGACCGTTCATTTTTTATCAGGAGGGCTGGGCTGGTGGTTTTTGCGGGGGCCACCAGAAAAAATAGTGATGTGAAAGGGGGGTCACCTCAGGAAAATTAAATTTTGAGGGGGGGGGGGGCACAAAAACATCAATGAATACATAATATATAAAAATTAAAGTAATAGACTTTCGTACTCTTTCATTTATAAAAACTCAAAGTAACATGTAACAATTAGGAATTTTATACTTGTGATATTCAGTGCATTTAAAATCGCGTGTGTGAGTTCAACGTGATTTGAACCCAAACGTGTATCGAGATAGGCTAAACGACCTACCACTAAGCCACCGCCGGACGAATTGAAATTCTTGTGAAATTAAAAACAATAGTAGATTGTGGTGATCTGCTTATCACATGCGTTGAACAAGATTTTATTAGGCGGTGAATGCGGTGAAAGGATACAATGTGAAGTCAACACAGAATGATTAGCTGGATTTCTTCGGCCAGGTTCAACATAGCAATATTTTCTTCTACTTGTAAAGCGATTTCTCACATAGAGGTGAAAAAGAATAAAAAATAGCTGGAATAAATAAAGGAAAAAATATTGTGAGTCCGCTACAAAATATGAGTTCAACGTGATTTGAACTCAACCATTTATTGCGATAGCCCAAACGACCTGCCACTAAGCCACCATTGCACAAACTGACATTCTTGTGAAATAAAAAACAATAGTAGATTGTTGAGACCTGCTTATCTCATGCCGTGAATGAGGGTGACGAAGTGGTTAGCGCACTTGCCTTTCACCTCTAAGGCCGCAGGTTCGAATCTCGATGAGGACTTCTCATTGTGACTGGAACCCATTCCTAATGTGAAAAGAGTAAGTCAACGCTCTGCCGAAAGTCGTGGGCTTTCTCCGGGCACTCCGTGTTTCCTCCCACAGGGAAAGTTGATAGGGTGGGTTAGGCACATAACTATGTAAATGCACGACCACATCAGCTATGCTGCGAATTTAATCGTGTTGAAATAAATGCTACAAACAAACAAACAAACAAGAATTCGGGTGGCGGGTTAGCCAATTACAAAGTATAATGAAGGACGGGTTAGCATTTCTTATATCAAAATACGCTTTAAAATTCCACTATACCGAAACTTTCTGCATCAATATGTGTTTTGAACCTTTCTAAGTCGATCTAGATCAAAAATTGTTTTTCGATTTGCCCGATATTTTCTAAGTTAAACTTTGGTTTATAAAGGCAGCACTCGCCTTAGCGTAGTACAAATTATAATGAAGGACGGGTTAGCATTTATTGTCTCAAAATGCGCTTTAAAATTCCCCTATGCCAAAACATTCTGCACCAATACGCAGATCAGAACCACCCTAAGTCGATTTATATTAAAATATGTTTGTAAGTCAAACTTTGGTCGAAATTTTCCAAGAGAAACGCAGCTTACTGGACTCAAGAATTCGGGTGGCGGGTTAGCCAATTACAATGTATAATGAAGGACGGGTTAGCATTTCTTATATCAAAATACGCTTTAAAATTCCCCTATACCGAAACTTTCTGCATCAATATGTGTTTTGAACCTTTCTAAGTCGATCTAGATCAAAAAATTTTTTTCGATTTGCCCGATATTTTCTAAGTTAAACTTTGGTTTATAAAGGCAGCACTCGCCTTAGCGTAGTACAAATTATAATGAAGGACGGGTTAGCATTTCTTCTCTCAAAATGCGCTTTAATATTCCCCTATGCCAAAACATTCTGCACCAATAGGCAGATCAGAACCACCCTAAGTCGATTTATATTAAAATATGTTTGTAAGTCAAACTTTGGTCGATATTTTCCAAGAGAAACGCAGCTTACTTGACTCAAGAATTCGGGTGGCGGGTTAGCCAATTACAAAGTATAATGAAGGACGGGTTAGCATTTCTTATATCAAAATACGCTTTAAAATTCCACTATACCGAAACTTTCTGCATCAATATGTGTTTTGAACCTTTCTAAGTCGATCTAGATCAAATTTTTTTTTTCGATTTGCCCGACATTTTCTAAGTTAAATTTTGTATTTATTAAAAAATTCAATACATATAATTCCATATATTTACAAATATCAAATTAGATGTATTAGGGCATACCATAAACAGAATTCAAGATTCCCTCAAGAATGGTTTCCCAATTACAAACAGAATATTAAACTAACATCACAGGACACATAATACAAATAATTCCTAAATTATATAATTTTACAATTTCTAAATTAAAAGTCTGAATTATATATATTTTTTTTTATATATTTTCTAATTTTCTGAATATCTGATTAAGGATTGAAAGCAGAAGGGAAAAGTTTAAAATAATATAGAGTAAGTTGTTTCTTAAAGTACGACAGATGCTGAATAGAACGCAATGTGTAAGGAAGTAAGTTCCATAAGCGTGTAACACGAACGAAATATGAGAGCTTAAAAACATCTGTGCGTGCAAAAGGCACTGTAAGTGTCATGTCGTCACTGTTGCGCAAAGAGCGACACGTATTTTTCCAAGAAAGGAAACCTCCTGGTATATCAACTAACTCATGTATAATTTTAAAGAGAAAAACAAGATCTGTGATTTCTCTACGCATATACAAAGGTAGAAGATGAAGTTTTTCTAGTCTAGATTTATAATCAACTTCATGACCTAGGATCAGACGAAAAGCTCTACGTTCCACCTTTTCAATTTTATTAATATTCCGTTTCTTATAAGGAGACCATACTGGGCTAGCATATTCAAGAGTTGGCTTCACCCAAGCAAAATAAAGCAGACGCTTCACACTGTTTTCATCAATATCCTTTAAGGTTCGATATAATAGACCTAACATTTTCTGGGCTTTAGCAACTATATTATCTGTGTCAATATTCCAATTCAAAGTATCAGAAATCCACACACCTAAATCTTTTTCGCTTTGAACAACCGACAAATGCGAGGAGCCTAAAGCATACTGCCTATCATATATTGTACGTGTTCTAACAACCCTCAACACCTTACATTTTTCAACATTAAACTCCATGCCCCACTTAATTGACCAATCATAGAGCATTAAGATCCTCCTGTAAACTTTGGTTTATAAAGGCAGCACTCGCCTTGCGATAGTAACTTCTAGTTTCTACTTGATTCGATCAAGAATCCGGGTAGCGGGTTAGCGTAGTACAAATTATAATGAAGGACGGGTTAGCATTTCTTGTCTCAAAATGCGCTTTAAAATTCTCCTATGCCAAAACATTCTGCACCAATACGCAGATCAGAACCATCCTAAGTCGATTTATATCAAAATATGTTTGTAAGTCAAACTTTGGTCGAAATTTTCCAAGAGAAACGCAGCTTACTGGACTCAAGAATTCGGGTGGCGGGTTAGCCAATTACGAAGTATAATGAAGGACGGGTTAGCATTTCTTATATCAAAATACGCTTTAAAATTCCACTATACCGAAACTTTCTGCATCAATATGTGTTTTAAACCTTTCTAAGTCGATCTAGATCAAATTTTTTTTTCGATTTGCCCAACATTTTCTAAGTTAAACTTTGGTTTATAAAGGCAGCACTCGCCTTGCTATAGTAACTTCTAGTTTCTACTTGATTCGATCAAGAAAGCGGGTAGCGGGTTAGCGTAGTACAAATTATAATGAAGGACGGGTTAGCATTTCTTGTCTCAAAATGCGCTTTAAAATTCCCCTATGCCGAAACATTCTGCACCAATAGGCAGATCAGAACGATCCTAAGTCGATTTATATCAAAATATGTTTGTAAGTCAAACTTTCGTCGAAATTTTCCAAGAGAAACGCAGCTTACTTGACTCAAGAATTCGGGTGGCGGGTTAGCCAATTACAAAGTATAATGAAGGACGGGTTAGCATTTCTTATATCAAATGCGCTTTAAAATTCCCCTATGCCAAAACATTCTGCACCAATAGGCAGATCAGAACCATCCTAAGTCGATTTATATCAAAATATGTTTATAAATCAAACTTTGGTCGAAATTTTCCAAGAGAAACGCAGCTTACTTGACTCAAGAATTCGGGTGGCCGGTTAGCCAATTACAAAGTATAATGAAGGACGTGTTAGCATTTCTTATATCAAAATAGGCTTTAAAATTCCCCTATACCGAAACTTTCTGCATCAATATGTGTTTTGAACCTTTCTAAGTCGATCTAGATCAAAAAATTTTTTTCGATTTGGTTGATATTTTCTAAGTTAAACTTTGGTTTATAAAGGCAGCACTCGCCTTGCGATAGTAACTTATATTTTCTACTTGATTCGATCAAGAATCCGGGTAGCGGGTTAGCGTAGTACAAATTATAATGAAGGAGGGGTTAGCATTTCTTGTCTCAAAATGCGCTGTAAAATTCCCTTATGCCAAAACATTCTGCACCAATAGGCAGATCAGAACCATCCTAAGTCGATTTATATCAAAATATGTTTGTAAGTCAAACTTTGGTCGAAATTTTCCAAGAGAAACGCAGCTTACTAGACTCAAGAATTCGGGTGGCGGGTTAGCCAATTACAAAGTATAATGAAGGACGGGTTAGCATTTCTTATATCAAACTACGCTTTAAAATTCCCCTATACCGAAACTTTCTGCATCAATATGTGTTTTGAACCTTTCTAAGTCGATCTAGATAAAAAAAATTTTTTCGATTTTTTTTCGATAAAGACAGCACTTGCGTTGCGATAGTAACTTCAAGTTTATAGTTGATTCGATCAAGAATCTGGGTAGCGGGTTAGCCTAGTACAAAGTATAATGAAGGCTGCTTAGCATTTCTTATATCAAAATGCGCTTTGAAATTCCCCGGTGCCAAAACTTTCATCACCAATAGGCAGTTCTGAACCATCCTAATCAACAAAAACATCAAAATATGTTTGTAAGTGAAACTTTGGTCGAAATTTTCCAGGAGAATCTCTTTACGTCGCTGACATCATGGTATAGTGGTAAAGACTTAGGCCCTCATAAGCGAAAGTTGACGACCATTCCCAGGTAAAATATTTTTGTTTTTTTCTTTTTCCATTATTTTGCCCAAAAGTCTTCGAATCGCTCCTCTTAACTGCTTAATACTCATATTTTGATAATATTTTGAATATTTGTACAATTTCGAGTCGATTTAGCTGAACAAGTCGATGCAGAGAATTCATATGCAGGATGAAATCGAAAAATACTATCTACAGTACAGCAACCAACCGAATATTGACGTATTGCAATTTGGTGCCTGTTTACATCGCTAACATCATGGTATGGTGGTAAAGACTGAGGCCATTATGAACGAAAGTTGCGGAGCTCTCCCAGGTAAAATTTTCGTATAATTTTTCGTTATATCTTTAGGCCATTATTTATCCCAAAATTCTTCAAATCGCTCCTTATAAAAGCTTAATACTCATATTTTGTAATATTTTCTATGTGTGGACAATTTTGAGTCGATTTAACGAACGATGACGAGGGCATGAACAACGATGTATAGCGATGAAGAGAATCGTATGTAGGGTGAAATCCAAAGAATCTACATATACATGCAGCTAGGTCAACGCAAAATAGAATATTGAAGTTTTGTAATTAGTTGGCCTACTTGTTTCCATCGTTGACATCATGGTATTGTGGTAAAGACCGATGCGTCATGAGCGAAAGTTGTATACCATTACCAGGTAAAACTCTTGTAACCTTTCGTATAATTTTTTCTTTATTTCTTTTTGCCATTATTTTCCCCAAAAGTCCTCAATTGGCCCCTCATAACAGCTTAATACTCATATTTTAATAATATTTTGTGTATTTGGACAATTTTGAGTCGATTTAGCTGAACAAGACAATGAAGAGAATTCTTATGGAGAGTGAAATCGAGAAATACTATCTACAGTACTGCGGCAAACAGAATATTGATGTATTGTAACTTGTTACCTGTTTATATTGCTGACATCATGGTTTAGTGGTAAAGACTTAGGCCCTCATGAGCGAAATTTGTGGACCATTCCCAGGTAAAATTTTTTTTTCGATTTGCCCGATATTTTCTAAGTTAAACTTTGGTTTATAAAGGCAGCACTCGCCTTGCGATAGTAACTTCTAATTTCTAGTTGATTCGATCAAGAATCCGGGTAGCGGGTTAGCGTAGTACAAATTATAATGAAGGACGGGTTAGCATTTCTTGTCTCAAAATGCGCTTTAAAATTCCCCTATGCCAAAACATTCTGCACCAATAGGCAGATCAGAACCATGCTAAGTCGATTTATATCAAAATATGTTTGTAAGTCAAACTTTGGTCGAAATTTTCCAAGAGAAACGCAGCTTACTTGACTCAAGAATTCGGGTGGCGGGTTAGCCAATTACAAAGTATAATGAAGGACGGCTTAGCATTTCTTATATCAAAATACGCTTTAAAATTCCCCTATGCCGAAACTTTCTGCATCAATATGTGTTTTGAACCTTTCTAAGTCGATCTAGATCAAAAATTTTTTTTCGATTCGGCCGATATTTTCTAAGTTAAACTTTGGTTTATAAAGGCAGCACTCGCCTTGCGATAGTAACTTCTAGTCTCTAGTTGATTCGATCAAGAATCCGGGTAGCGGGTTAGCGTAGTGCAAATTATAATGAAGGACGGGTTAGCATTTCTTGTCTCAAAATGCGCTTTAAAATTCCCCTATGCTAAAATATTCTGCACCAATAGGCAGATCAGAACCATCCTAAGTCGATTTATATCAAAATATGTTTGTAAGTCAAACTTTGGGCGAAATTTTCCAAGAGGAACGCAGCTTACTTGACTCAAGAATTCGGGTGGCGGGTTAGCCAATTACAAAGTATAATGAAGGACGGGTTAGCATTTCTTATATCAAAATACGCTTTAAAATTCCCCTATACCGAAACTTTCTGCATCAATATGTGTTTTGAACCTTTCTAAGTCGATCTAGATCAAAAAATTTTTTTCGATTTGCCCGATATTTTCTAAGTTAAACTTTGGTTTATAAAGGCAGCACTCGCCTTGCGATAGTAACTTCTAGTCTCTAGTTGATTCGATCAAGAATCCGGGTAGCGGGTTAGCGTAGTGCAAATTATAATGAAGGACGGGTTAGCATTTCTTGTCTCAAAATGCGCTTTAAAATTCCCCTATGCTAAAATATTCTGCACCAATAGGCAGATCAGAACCATCCTAAGTCGATTTATATCAAAATATGTTTGTAAGTCAAACTTTGGGCGAAATTTTCCAAGAGGAACGCAGCTTACTTGACTCAAGAATTCGGGTGGCGGGTTAGCCAATTACAAAGTATAATGAAGGACGGGTTAGCATTTCTTATATCAAAATACGCTTTAAAATTCCCCTATACCGAAACTTTCTGCATCAATATGTGTTTTGAACCTTTCTAAGTCGATCTAGATCAAAATTTTTTTTTCGATTTGCCCGATATTTTCTAAGTTAAACTTTGGTTTATAAAGGCAGCACTCGCCTTAGCGTAGTAAATTATAATGAAGGACGGGTTAGCATTTCTTGTTTCAAAATGCGCTTTAAAATTCCCCTATGCCAAAACATTCTGCACCAATAGGGACATCAGAACCATCCTAAGTCGATTTATATCAAAATATGTTTGTAAGTCAAACTTTGGTCGTAATTTTCCAAGAGAAACGCAGCTTACTTGACTCAAGAATTCGGGTGGCGGGTTAGCCAATTACAAAGTATAATGAAGGACGGGTTAGCATTTCTTATATCGAAATACGCTTTGAAATTCCCCTATACCGAAACTTTCTGCATCAATATGTGTTTTGAACATTTCTAAGTCGATCTAGTTCAAAATTTTTTTTTCGATTTCCCCGATATTTTCTAAGTTAAACTTTGGTTTATAAAGGCAGCACTCGCCTTAGCGTAGTACAAATTATAATGAAGGACGGGTTAGCATTTCTTGTCTCAAAATGCGCTTTAAAATTTCCCTATGCCAAAACATTCTGCACCAATACGCAGATCAGAACCACCCTAAGTCGATTTATATTAAAATATGTTTGTAAGTCAAACTTTGGTCGAAATTTTCCAAGAGAAACGCAGCT